TTTGCTCAGGGGAGGTCAGTGAGGTTGTAAAAGTGACCCTCAACCGAATGACAGAGGAGAAGGTTTGCTTGTGATAAAGGAAAATGCGATCCTACAGATCCCCTTGCGGTGCCCTCCGATCCTGGGCCTTGCAGAGAGCTGACCTGGGGCCTGTTAGGCACCTCAGTGGTTAAACTCGGGTGTCTGCATGGACAGTTCTCGGCCAGCCGGGCCAGGGCTGCCTAGGAAGCCAGATTTAACTTTGACCTTTGGAATGGCATCGCATGATGTTTTCCAGACTGACTGACAGCTGAATTGGGTTCAAGTCGCCTTGTATTAACTCCAGTTTATGCCGGCCGAGCAGGGATCCGTAGGTAGAACCTTGAGCTTGTCAAACTCGCGCTTCCGGGTCAGTTGTGCGTCCTTAGTGGATTGCTGCTGCTGCTGCTGCTAACGGTTGGAGTCTGAGAGTCCCCACCGGACTGTGCAACCTGGATTTGAAGCCAACCATCAGCCACGTCCCCACCGCACCCCCCTTTAATTTAAACCCGTGACCTCGGGGAGTTTAACTTTATTCACCTCTTTGAACCTGGGTTTCTCCACCTGTAAAGTGGGAACAATAATTTTATTTAATCAGTAAGCGGCAAAACTGGTTTGCTCTGGCCCTCAGTAGATGCCCAGCCTGTGATAGTGAAACTGGGCTGTGTGGGACATAACTTTGAACCTCTCCCCGGTGGAGACTATCAGCAACAACAAAAATAATAGCTTGATGTTTGCATAGCACCCATATTCTGTCAGGCACAGTTGTGAGTGGATTACACCTCATCTGATGTAATCCTCAGAGCAAGCCTATGAGGTAGGTACTATTAATATGCTCATACTGCACAGAAGGAAAAGGAGGCATGGAGACGGAATCATGGCTAGTGAGTTGCAGAACCGGGACTCAAATCCAAGCAGCCTCTGCTGCCTCCCATGAAAGTCCCTTTTGTGTAAGACACTAGAAGAGAACTCTTGTTCCGTCTCTGGCTTTGGAATGCCACCACCTAAGGAGAGTGAGTTTCCTGTCACTGGAGGTATCCAAATGTAGACTGGATAGCCTCCTGGTTGAAGCTGGGGTGTGTGTGTGGTGTGTGTGTGTGTGTGTGGTGTGTGTGTGTGTC